GTTTCTCAATAAAATTATAGAAAAAAATAAAAATTAAATTAAAATTAAAATAAAGACAAAGGTCAGGAAGAGTTCTTAAGAGAGATACCCAGACAACAATAAGATATGAATTAAAAAACAGGTGGTGCCAGTGACTAGTCCATTGGCTTTGGAGTCTGATAGCTCTGGGGTTGAAATTACCATTGTGTCACCTAAAGTCATGGGAAAAAATGCAAGCTCTCTTCATTGCCACTGGAAAGAGAACATTACTGTATGGTAGGTAATCTGCTCATAGACAGATGCACTGAACATTATTCCTAAGTGTTTCTCCCTTGCCACACCCATGTCCATGGCAAGGATCCCCAGCAACCTGGAGATGGCTCCTTCCTCCTGGAAACCCCTCAGCCAACATCCACAATGGGTCTCTTACCTCCACTTGGTCCTCCCAGTTTAGCGAGGGGTCAATGACAATATCAGGGAAATCAGGCCAGACCTGTGGAGAGACAAATGTTCCATAGCAATGTACCATGAAATTTAACATGTGTGATATTTTTCAAGAAAATAGAAACTACTGTCCAAGGGTTACTAATAGTTCCATTATCTTATGTCTTATCTGGAGTCAAGCAGATTCTACAAAATTCTAAACTGTATCAACTAAGGTAGATTGAAAAATGGAAAGTATGGATCCCCGATCTCAAATGCAAAGAACCAGGAAATAATATGTACAACTAATATGTACAAACACACTACCACATCTAGGAGGCTGCCCCAAGCTGAGGATTGATGGATCAGCCCTTGCTCATACCTTTCCCCAGACAATGCCTCCATCATTGGGATACTTGATGAACACGTCATTATCCACACCATGAGTGAAGGCAGGGTAGGGCTGGGTCTCATTGCCAGAAATGGCTGGGTCCTGAAAGCCAAGCACAGGTCAGATGGGAAAACCACAGCCAGAGTGGACAAAGTGGACAAAGAGTGGAAAAACAAACTTTCCAAAAGAAGGGTGGGACATTAGCTTTCACTCAAATTGTAGAGTTCCTGGGAACCCTGGGAAATACAGTTTTATATTGTACCTTCCAACTACTGCTCATGGTATGGAAATAAATAGTATCACAAGTTCTTAACCACATCCACTCAGTGCCCAAGCAGATCCTACACATTCTCACAAGGACTGACCAGAATGATGATGACCCGCATTCCATCAGCCTTCATGCGATTGATCAGGGCTGGAAACCCAGAGAACTTGGAGCTGAGGGTGAAGTCCAGCTGCCGCTCCATGTAGTCAATGTCTGAGTACTGCACGTCCTGGGAAAGGACACAGGAAAACCAAGGGGCTAAGGAGTGCTATCCAGTTCCAGAAGGTAGCAACAAAAAAATACTGATGGAGAAGTTAAAAGGTTTCTCTGATTCACACTGACTCTTTCAAATCCTAGCTCCATCATTTGTTTGGTGTGCTCTAGGAAGTTTATCTCATTGAATTTTCCTTTAATAAAAGCATTATAAGTAACTGAAGAGTAAGTGCATTCAGTATATAAGTGCTTCATGGATCATTTCTGATTTTTCCAGTCCTCTCACTCTGAAAGCCCCTGTGAGCACAGAGCAGTCCAGAACAGATAAAATGCAGTGGTATACCTGCCAAGCATTGGGACAAAGAACATGTCTCATCTTTAAAGGTCTGATGGTGTTTGGAGTTGTTGTTTTTAATTACATAAAATTACTGTTTCTGGGGTATTCTGTTATCTTTTTGTTCCTGTTTCATTTTATTTATTTATTTTTTGGCAGAACCGGGGATTGAACTCAGGCCATTGCACTTGCCAGGCAAGCATTTATTCTACTGAGCCATCTCCCTGGCCCCAAAATCTGCTAGTATCTTTTTTTTTTTTTCAGTACCAGGGAATGAACTCAGGACCTTGCACTTGCCAGGCAAGAATTTATTCTACTGTGCTATCTCCCCAGCCCTTGTTTTGTTTTCAATACTGATGTTTGAACAAAGCAGCATGCACTAGCCAGGCAAGTGCTTTAATGGTGGTCTATATCCCTGGCCATTTTATTATGATATTTTGTCAAAAGATCATGTTAAGTTATCCAGGCTAGCTCCAAAGTGGTGACCCTTCATGCACAGCTATAATCAACCACCAGGTCTCCTTTGTTGAGAGATATTTTATGCTTATGGAATCAATGACTTTCTCACAAAATTTTTTGAAGTCCTGTAAAAGGAATAGAAGGAAATCTGAAGCAGAAGAAAAAGACTTTACTGAAAGTATTATAAGCAACTGAAGAGTAAGTGGATTAATTCAGCATATAAGTGCTCCATGGATCATTTCTGGATTACCCTGTAAAGAGAGGACAAGGCCTATCTTCATTACCGTGCTGGCTGAGGCATCATGTGGCATCGAGTGAGAAAGAGCTCTGTGTCTTTGTACCACTTTGCAAAGCCCAACAAACAAACACAGATACAGAGATGAATGAGTTAGCCACAAGGTCACAGAGCTAATGCACAATGTCCTTTACGTACATAGGGGATTCTGGCGGCCACCATGTCATCATACAGGCTGGCGATCTCAGAGTCATTCTCATATCCATAGCGACACAGCTGGAACCCCAGGGACCAGTAAGGTACCATCACAGGCCGACCAATCACCTAGGAAATACACAAAATCCTAGACCTTGTGGGAGAAGTCAGATTTAAGCTGTACATGCAGTAATAAAGATAGTTCTTCAGTGCCACAAGATAGACGCTCAATGAGTATAAACACATAGATAAACTAAAGAGATGCTGAGCTACCAGAATACCAGTAGAAAACTGCTCAACTAGAACTCATTAGCTAGGAATTGGGGAAAATTTGGTTTTGCTCTAATTCCTATGACTAGGAGCACAGAACCCAGAGAAAAACATGTCTGGATTGGCAAACAGGCTCCATGTGTGCTAGCTGTGTGATCTTGTGGAGCATAGGTTTGTGCTTTTCCTTCTTCACCTGTAAAAGAGAATATTGGTAGTGACTACCCTATATTTTTCTGAAGATGACATAAGCTAATATGTGCAATAGCATGCTGACATGCAGTAAATAAAAGACAAATAACATGAAGAATTATGTGTTTGTTGCCACAACTGACACTGCTATCTTCTCTCCCTCACCAACATCACCCATAGTCCTGTCACCACCACAGACACAACCACCAACATTGGCACAGTCACTCCAACTATCATTATCACCAGAACCATACCCAAAATATCCACAATCCACCACCATCACTGCCATCACTATCATCACCCCTTCACCAACAGCACCCACACTGTGACCACCATCAAAGTCACAACCCTCACAACCACTCCATCCACATCTTCAGAGCTACTATCAGCATTATCATCTCTACAACCTACCATCACCAAAAGCACTACCACCATAACCACCCATATGCTACCACTAGTCTCACCACTATACTGCTACCATGTCTCCTATATCCACACTACATTAATCAGAAAGTCTATCAATATAATGATTATGAATATGCATTTAGTGTTATTCAGTATCTCCTATCTCTGAGAAAACCAACAACTCCAGTAATCAAGTGATAGTTACACAGTGAATGCTGGTATCGGGACACTAAAGGAGCTTAATAAATACTTGATGAGCAAATGGATTCCCTTCTACCTCAGTGTACTGCTGAGTGACAAGCTCTGGAGTCGGGCCCAAGAACACGTAAAAGTCCAGAATTCCTCCTGTGGTACGGTACGTGAGAGCAGGCATGGGCTGGAATGTCACATCTGAGAAGACAGAGAAAATGATGCCAACAGTGATGATGAACTAGCCTGAGACACATATGCTCTCTCCTTGGAACATCACATCTGAGAAGTCAGGAAGATGCCAACCAGGACCTATGTCTTCACGAGGAAAACTTACACTTGATATACCCACACTCTCTTTTTTTCTGTTTTAGAGTTGTCAAGGGCAGCTAATGTGCAAGAAACACAGAAGTGTTAGTCTGAAGGTTCCATCCTTGGAGGTGTGCCCCTTGGTAGGCCTTATGAGCTTCTTATATGTTTTGTTATTCTAATTCTTTAAAATTATTATAACTTTTATATCAGAAAATTTTAGACATGCAGGGAGTTGCAGAAATGCTCCTGAGACTTTCTGTGTGCACTTTGCCCTACTTTCCTCTGGGCAGTGGTTTGCTGGACCATCATCATACATTATCAAACCCAGAAGATCAATGGTAATAAAACACTAATAATGGATTTATTCACACCTCACCAGTTTTTACTTCTTGGTTCTTTCAAAGCCACTGAGTTTTCTCTTTCATATCACACAAATTTTATTCACACTTCCTACATGTTAGAGTGAGTGCTCTGACCCATAGCTTCACAACTAGTTCAAGTTAGACAGTTGTTCCCACTAACTACCCTAAGGATACTTGGGGTTTTATTCCTTTTATGTGATTTTTGCCAAAATGAGAGTTTCAGATATCTTGTTATTACATGTTACTCAAATGAGAGCATATGAAATTTAAAGGCAAAAAAACCTTTGCCACAAGGTGAGTATTTTGATTTCTGAAAGCAGCTAGATCACAGATATCCTAACGTTGTTCAAGACCAGCTGGCACTCAAACAAAGGAAGCACTGACACCACCTACCCATGGCATTGCTGTTCAGCAGCAGCACACTGTGGGCACTGCCATCCTCCTCCAGTCCCATGTAGTAGGGGTGGACACCATAGGAATTCATCTTGTACTGAGAGACACAGGGGAAAAGGCAGTAAGGATAGAACACATTGTGACTGATTACGAAATTTAATATGTTTTTTAAGATGGACCTTGTCTTTTCTGATAAATAAGTTAAACACAGGAGAAAGAAAGGTGAAGAGACATGGGCCCACTTGTTTATGAGCACAATGCAACAACCCAAATCAAACCAGGGCAGACAAAGCACAAAGCACACACAGGTAGGTAGACAGAGGTGCAGACACAATCCCACTCATCCTATGCATACCCCCGGGGGCTGGTCTCGGGAAAACATGCCCCACGTGTGCCAGTTCAGGTCTCTCCTGAAGGCTGTGTGTTCCGTTTCCCCAAAGCCATAGATGTAGGAGGAGGGCAGGCGGGTGGAGATGCGGAGGAACATGTCATTGAAGGTGAAGCCCAGGAGCTGCGAGTCCCAGCTGTGAGGAGAAAAGGTGGGTTGGGGAGAACTTTAGCTCTCCTACTGACTATGCGCAACTGACTTTCCAAGGATAACAGCACTGTTGATTCCCTCCTGCCAGTGGACCCAGTTCATCTCCCAAGTACAATACAAGTTCTACGTGGCTAAGAGAACACGGCTGTCCTTGCTGGAATCTAGCAGTCAGCCTTCCTTCCTCTGCATTCTCTACCACTGCCTCCTTTTGCTGCTCGCCCCACAACACCAGAGCCAGTCACTGCTCATCATCTCATCTGCCACCCTGCATGCCAGCCCTGCCTTCTGCTCTCACTCTATGATGCTCCATCCCCTCATGC